TCTAATGTTACAGTAAAGAAAAATACTTAATTTGTCTCTTTTAACACACTCCCTAATATTATTCTCTGGCTTTTGATCCTGACCTATGCCGTGCGAGTATCTGAGGAAGGTGTTGGAATGACTCCCAAGTTTTAATACTTACAAAGTTTTCTATATTATATTTTATCTTCTTCATGCATTTTTGCTTATATTTTATAATGTAAGGGACCTTTCTTATTTGAGGAAAGCCCCTCTTGATATGTCAGATTTAATTTTGTTGAATTTCCATTTCCCTTATTCTCATAATGCCTGGGGTACTCCAGATACCATCCTATTTGTGGGTTTATGTCTTGATAGCTTTTTACTATTATTGTTATATTTTTTATTGTAAGCAGCATTGCTGACAGTGCCTTATTTCATTTGGCTTGTAAGTGCTGATGCTGCTATCCTCTGGGTCAGAGGGAGGTCACAGTCTGTTCTAAAACATAATCGCTGGCTCTACCGCATGACTGTGGGTTTAATTAGTCCCCCGTACTGGTGTGGAAGCACCGAATCTTATTGCTGAATGGAGCCTGGAGAGCGCATCTGTTCTGGCCCCCTTACCTTCTGGCAGGTGGATTCCATGCTATTCAAGAGAGATGACTGTTGAAATCAAATTGAAGTGATCATTTTTAACACCTTCAGAGATCACAACTCCACAATTTCTCTCTGTGTCTGATTTTGGGGTTTCCCATCCTAATAATTAAGAGTTTCCCTTTTTGTCTCCATTAAATAAATCTATTTTAATGAAACTCTTCTCCTTGGTTTTGCTCTTCTTTATATGGAAAACAATTAACCAAAATTCCTATAAGAGAATGCCTTCTCTGCTTCAAGATTACAATGAAGTCATTTTAGTTTTCCCTTCTTTTGGTTAGAAAGTAGGGCTGTCTAATCATTAATCAGTTAACTGATTTTGGTTCCTCTTAGCTTGCAATGAGGTAGGTTAACAAAGCATTTCAGCACACAGGGTTTAGAACGAATCTCATGGGTTGAAATCCTGACCTGACTGCCTGTCAGCTTTATAACTGTGGGAAGTTACTTGACTTCTCTAGTCCTTAGTTTTTCTATATGGAAATGTTATGGACAGAATGTTTGTATGCCCCCAAAATTCATATGTTCAAATCCCAACCCCCAATGTGATGGTATCAGGAGGTGAGGTCTTCGTGTGGAGCCCTCATGAGTGGGATTCGTACTCTCATAAGAAGAGACACGTGAGAGCTTGCCTCCTCCCTCTCTGCTTTCCACCACATGAGGTACAACGAGAAGAGAGCCATCTGCAAACCACGAACGGTGCCTCACCAAGAACCGGATTGGCCAGCACCACAATCTTGGACTCCCCAGCCTCTCGAACTGTGGGAAATCGATGTTTGCTGTTTAAGCCATCCAGTCTGTGGTAATTTGCTATAGTAGCCTGAGCTGACTGAGACGGGAAATAATAAACGTTTCTGCCCTATGGAGTTGTTAAGAGGAGTCAATGAATGTAAAGTCCTTAGTTGGGTGCTTGACATAGAAAGTGCTCAATGAATGTCAGCTGTTATTACTGCTGCTTGATGGCCATTGTACAGCAAAGGACATTCACATCTTTCTCATCTCATTTTCCCAAGCTTAATAACCTATCTAAAGTTTTTCTTTTTCTAATGGTTAAATTTTGCAGACAAACTATCCACCTTTCTAGAAGAAAAATGTCTTTGTTACTTTATGTGTTAGGAATTTGTGGAGTTGTAACGTTAGGATGATAGTATTCTGGACACCATTTCCTTAGGGCACTTGACATACCTGTCATCAACAAACTCTTGGAGAAGGGGTAGCGTTATTACCTTCTCGGGTAAAAATCTCTGAGGTCGGAAGCTCAACAGAGGGCCTCTTTCAGCAGGAAAAGCCCTCTTCATTTCCTTCCTGGATAGGAAGAGACAGTGCCTGCTGCTGGTTCTCTGAGGGAGTTTATATGATACAGACAAAGCCTAGGAGAAAGTGGAGCGTGGTCACCGGTACTAAGTGATGGTGAATGACACAGCATTTCCATCTTCATGGAGCTTAGATTCTAGTTGAGTCAGGCAATAAAAAAACATTCAAAGAAACAACCACAAAAACTCATAATGTCGTGTACATACATGTTATGAAAAAACTGGATAAATGGATAGAGAATGGCAGGATGGAGGGCTGCTGTTTATAATAGCTTATCCAGGGAAGGCCTCTCTGATGAAGTGTTGTTTGAGCAGAGACCTGAACGGAGCGGGAGAATGTGCCATGTGGATATATGGAAAGAGGAGTTGGATTTACGGAATTCCACAAATCTTTCAGACCTCACTTGCACAGTGGTTAAAACCAGGGGCGCAGGCATGAGACAGGCCTGCTGTTAACCCCCAGCTCTTGTGTCACTTGCTAGCCATGTGGTCACTCACAAGTCATCTAAGCTCTCCGAACCTCAGTTTCCTCATCTCCGATATGGACATGGTAATTTTTCTGCTTCATGTGGTTAATGTGATTGAATCGAAGGATATGCTTAAAGTGCTCGGGGCAGCGTTTACACACTGTAAGTGTTCTGTGAAGGAGGCTTACAGAGTCTCCCTTTTTCAGAACATAAGCCTTTGCAGTTGGTATTATTCATCAGGAGCCAGATGTGAAGTGAGGACAAGCACTTGCTGACATTTTATCCTCAGAGGGTCCTGAACCAAGTCAATCATTTGCAGGGCCAGGCTGTGCTAGCTGGGTGAAAAGGAGATGTGGTAAAATATCCCTATGGTACTATATGCAGCAAGCCCTGCTGTGGCACTCACCTGGCTTTTGGACCTGTTCTCCATCATAGAACCTATGGTTATTCTGGAGTAAGATGTAGCAAGTAGGAGTGGGGCTGGTTGTTATAAATACTAATTGATGGATCGATTCTCCTGCTCTTAGGCCGGAATTGAGGATTAGGTGAAGAGAGCTTGCACTGGAGACAAGGCTTAACGACTCCTGTCCTGTCCTTCTTTTCACTCTCCTATCTTTTTGTCCTCTCCTGTCCTCTTTCTTTCTGAAAGGTCAGAATAATTCCTAGCACTTTCATAAAACGTTTTCTGATTATTTCAAGCAAATTATGTTTGCAGTGGTATACATCTAATCTCCAGGCCCCCACGCAGACTTTCAGAAAGACCTCCTCCAGGATCTTTGCCCAAAGCACACCCTGCCAGCAGCCTGTGGCACTCCTGTTTTGCAGGAGCACTTCAAGCACTGTGGGGCTGCTGGGGCGGCCCCTTTCTTTGGCTTAAGACCGGTTTCATTAACAAGCATGTTCACACTTCAAGCAGAACATTTAAAATAACACTCACACAATGCGTTTAGTGTCTAGCTAATTATTAAGTCTCTGAGCTTGAATTATTCAAGCGAAGTTGATTGGGTTCAACCTTCTTCCTTCTCTTTGTATATTTTTTTAAAAAAAAATAAAAATAAGTTCTCCCCTCTACTCTCTAAATAATGTAGAAAAGGTTACTAAGCCACCATCAATGCCTGGACCGTGGGTGGTACCCAAGTGCTGAGAGAATAGGTAGAGAGAGGACTGGCAGCTTGACTCTTTTGTTAAAAAAAGTATCTTTATCTCACATACTTCCATTGTTAATTAGCATTTATTGAGAGCTAACATGTTTTAGGTTCTCTCTTTTAAACTCTTCTTTATAGTTACAAGTTTGGTAAGTAGGTATCTTGGAGCCAGTTTTATGGTATAAAAGCAGAAGAAAATGCTTCTTTCTTTGCTACTTCACCTCATGGTCAAATGAAAGTGTTAAAATGTCTTGGCTTTGTATTAAAAACCATGTTGTTGAAGAATATTTGTTGACCTGAAAAGATGTCCATAATATCTTGCTAAGTGAAAACAGGAGGCTATAAAACTGCCTTTTATTATGTATCATTTTTGTTAAAAATGCTTAGGAAAAAAGACTCAATAAGCACCAAAGTATTGATTATTATCTGTGTTAGGATTAAACTTTTCTTTTTGCTCTTCTATTACTTTAATAACTAGGCAACACACATATAAAGATGGCTAGAAATGATTTATCTTTTGTCTGAGTCGAAGTGTCACTCGTGTGTCAGAGCACACTGGAAATAATGCTGTCCTTATTTAAGCTAGGCAAGTGTAGACTCGACAAGTGTAGATTTCACAAAAAAAATCACAGTATTTTGTGAATCACAGCAACTTGAACAATTTCTGTTAGCCTTCATTTTTAGCCTTCATTTCTAGTCCATCCTGAGCTCCACATTAAGATGTAAAAAGACGCAATTGCGGGCATTAACACAGAGAGCATAACTGCCCCAGGGTGTAGGGAAGGAATATAAAATAATTGTATTTTGGAGAAAGATTACAAAGGAGATGGCAATTTTGAGAGGAAATGACAGAAATTCAGTGACCCAGTTTAGTGATACATTTAAATGTGGGACCTTCCTTGAGAAATTTGTAATGGGAGGTCTCCTAAAACCAAGATTCGAAAAAATCTGGAAGGCCCTAAACGCATCATCAGGGGCTGTAGCTACTGAATGACTTGCCTTTGCTGCAGTTTCTGCATTGTGTCACTGGGTTACACGTGTGTGTGTGTGTGTGTGTGTGCACGCGCGCGTGCGTTTGTCCGCAAACAGGGGCAGTAGGTCTGATGACAGTGGTGAGCTGTCTTGACTCCTTTCATCGGCGGAATCCCCTGTAGAGGGTAACCTCGGCCGGGGCTATACAGCAGCCAGGATAGGCTCGGAGCAGAGAACGCTGTGCTCCGTTTAGGGAAACTTTTGGGAATACAGATGGGGGATTCTGTCCTTCGCGCACACACACTCCTGACTTGGATGGTACGCATACAAGCCTGTCATTGTATTTGTCCTGGGAAGTGCTACAGCAGTGGTGTAATCAGACACCCAGGAATTGTGTATTACTCTGCAGCGCCCGAGAACGGAATTTGGGGGGCGGGTGGCGAGCAGGTAAGGGGCGGCGAGAGCGGCACCGGCTTTTCAGATCTCTCGGAAGCCTAAAGCCGTCTGCCCCGGGCGCCCTGAACAAACGTGCCACACGGGTGGTGGCCCCGAGGACGAGAAAGAAGCCCCGTTCGGCGATGCGGACAGAGTCCTCGGGGCCCCGGGGACCGCGCCGCCGCGGTGGCGCACTTTCCAGCCGCGCCCCGCGCCGCCCGCCCCACCTCCTCGGCCGCGGCCCGCCAGGCCTCCCGGATCCCCGCATTCCACGTTGCGGCCGCCGCAGCCCCGCCGGCCGAGGCGGGGCCCACCCTCCCCGCGCGGCGTGCGGCGTGCTGCCGCCCGCGCCCCCTCAGGGCCTCGGCTCCGCTCCGCGCGGCCGCGGGACCCGAGCCGGCTCGGCCGGCCGCTCGCGCGGGGGCAGGAGGTGGCGCGCGCCCGCGCGCGCTCGCGCGGGGGGCGGGCGCCGCCATATTGGCTGTGGCCTCGGCGGCGAGCCTCCGCCCGCGAGCGGCGGGGCTGAGGAGCTCGCGAAGCCCAGGGCGCGAGCGCGAGAGGACGGGGCGGGCGCGGGAGGGGGAGGCAGAGGAAGGGAGTGGCTGCAAGCCGGGCTGCCGCAGCCTCCGGCTCCTCGCCGCCGCACGACCCCTCCTCCTGCGCCGCGGCCGCCTCCCTCCGCGCCGGGGAAAGATGCCCTTAGCCCGGGGGTGTGAAGAAGGGGGAGAAGGAGCCGCCGGAGCCCGCGCCGCCGCCGCCGCCGCCGCCCGTGTCCTTTGAGTCCGAGAGGCGCCCCCCGCGCCAGGGCGTCGGGAGCCGCGGCGGGCGGCCGCGGTGCGGGTGTGGGGAGCCCGGGCGCTGCGCCCGCGCGGCCCAGGCCGGCCGAGCGGCGCCCCGACATGGAGCGGGCTCGGGCGGCCGAGTAGCCGTGCGCCGCAGCCCGCTCTCCAGCCGCGGCCGCGCCGCCAGCCAGGCCCCGGGAGGAGCGGGGACAGAAATGAAGCGTTTCCACCCGAATCCGCTGGGAACAGGACTACCTGCAAAGCCTTAAACAGAAGGACCTCGGGAGGAGAAAGGGAAAGCCGCCTCCGGCACGACTCGGCGTGCTCCGAGCCGAGGGGCTGCTCCAGGGACCTCGCCCCCTCCCGTCCCCGCCGGAGGAGTCGCCGCGGACGCGTTATCCCAGTGGTGGTTGGGAGGATTTGCAGCAGAATTTTTGGTTTTCCCTCCCCCTTATATACATTCTGGTGTTTTCCTCCCTTTTCTATTTTCCTTCTTCCTGGGAAGTGAATTGCTGATGCAGATCGGACTTAATTCATTAATGATGCAACCGGATTCGTTTCAGGATTATGTTGCACGAGTTGAATTTTGAATGAAGGAGAAGAGTTTTGTTTTTTTTTTTTAAAGTATTGACTCTTTGGTTCGTTGTACTTTTAATTATTATTTTATTTAAATTTACGACTTAATTGTATTATGCTTTAAGAAAATGTATTAAATATATATTTTATGGTAACTTTCCCGCAAAATATATGTATATGTGCGAGATTGAAGACGCTTCAGTTAAGTGAGGTGACTGGTGTGTTGGATGTTGAATTCAGCACCGGCATTGCGTGACAGTTGTTGGAATAACAAGTGGTTTATTTTTGAAACCGCACCTTTTAAAATTTAGGTTCAGCTAGTCATAGTAAAAGTCGTAGTAATAATTTAAAGGAAAACCAGCAGAAATTGAAGCAAACATGTCTGGAGAAGTGCGTTTGAGGCAGTTGGAGCAGTTTATTTTGGATGGGCCCGCTCAGACCAATGGGCAGTGCTTCAGTGTGGAAACGCTGCTGGATATCCTCATCTGCCTTTATGATGAATGCAATAATTCTCCATTGAGAAGAGAGAAGAACATTCTTGAATACCTGGAATGGGGTAAGTTTGTATTGTTTAAAAAACTCTCTTTAGCTGGGCATTATGATTTAATTGTTATAGAGAGTTATGAGTAAATTCTACTGTGTAATGAGTATGTAATTATATATTGCATATATATCATATACTTATATTACATATTTAAATACATATACCTTATGTTATGTGTTTAAGTATACTGTATATACAATAAGAGAACAGTCACCAATTATTCAAGGTTTATTTTCTCGTTTTTGGTAAATATTTTCCCAAGAGTAAAACCGTGCTACTCAATTGTTGCCTTGATTTAATGTGGAATTTATGGGGCGGAACTTATGTTTTTGGGTCAGCAGTAAGAGATTTTGAGTAACTCTGTGATGGGCAAAGTGGATTATTGCTCGCAGTTGCCTAATGTATGGCGGGTGGTGTGGCAGACATTCAACTGAAAGGTATTTATTAGTGGAAACATTCCTTCCCAGACTTGGGAAATCACTCTTGAAATGGGAGGAGATCCTAAAATATCTTGGGTCAACAGGATCTTGAAGGTGGTGATCAGTGGGTTTTATTTCATCTGCATATTGTACAAGCAAAGGAAACTACTAAACATGGACTTTCCAAAAATTGTCATGTTTGTAAGATAGCATGACATAAATAGTTGAAGATTTTTGCCATAGTAGTTGATGGAGAGTGTTTGGGAGCAGCTTCCGCCTGAGAATTAAATTCACTCTAAATTTAATTCAAATCTAAACTGGTTAGATTTTTGTCTTCCTCCTAAATATAGATGTGATTTAGAAGACCTACTGTAGGGAAATAGATCACTGATGAGGGCAAATGCTCCACGTGACCTTCAAGCTTGAAGGCTTGGCTCAAGTTCTGCTTCTGATGTTACCTGTGAGCACCTAGGACATCCTGCAGTCCTCCCTCGGGGGCATACACGCCATCACCCAGACCTTGTTGGTGCATTGGCTTTGGAAGGATAGTTGCCAAACAAATATTTTGTACCTTTGGAATACTAATAATTTTAGTTTGTTGGGAAGTTTTTATATTAAAATGCCTCTGTTTCCAACTAAAGCTTTATTTTCCTGAAGTAAAAATCAGTTGGTGATTATTTTGTTTTTTGGATTTGAAATTTATTAAAAATTAGTCAGGTCAGTTACTCACCAAGATTGCTTACACGTGATGACTTTAATTATTCAACTTGCCAGTATCAGAAGTTTTCTAGCAACTTGATGTCATGAGGTTTTTAAAAAATATGTATATACGTGTGAATAGGATGGTTTTTAAAATCATACTAGGAATGTAAGACTTCTAAACCATCTTTCAAGTGACTTCTCTCTTAAGAGTGAGACGATTTTGACTTTGGTACTGGTTTTGTGAGTATGTCTTTTATTTTTATGTGTAGAGTAAAATCTTTTATAAAGCATATGTAGTTTTATATCCTATGTTTCATATATTTAGAAAGTTTTTAGTGTTTTTCCTTTTAAGACTTAAAAGGTTTTGGTACTTTTAGAGTTTCACTTCTTGAATTATGGCTCCATGGCGACACTTTAGTCTCTGATCATGACTGTCATTTAATATCTATTCTTTCTCATCTGCAAAATGATGGGAGAACTCTTTGTATGTACCAGTAGTAAATATAATTTTAAAATTATGGTAAAAGAAAAAATCATGTCCTCAATTGCCTTTTGGTTATTAAAAGTTTACATAGTGGTTTTATGCTATGAGATATTTTGCTGTATTATCAGAATAATTTATATTTTCCACTAAATATGTTTCTTATACTTTATTTCTTATATCTATATTAAAAAAACTCCTTGTTTATACATATTTAATTTAAGCCAAATAAGCCAAAAGTCAAATAACTATTTGGCCAAATACATTTTACTTTATTACTATATTTTAAATAATTTTAAACCAGGAACTTTTCAGAATTTAAAGTAAATTAAGTTTTAGTAGAATCCTTCATATTTTGTCTTCTTAGAAGTCTCATATGATTTAACAAAAATGTGCAGTCTCTTAAGTAAACTACTATTGTGTTTCTCAGTAGTTGAGAACAAGAGACTAGAATTTGTAAGGAATTATTTTGTAGGCTTTGGGGCTATGCAGTGTCTGTTGAGTCTCAGGCATTTTTAAATTGGAGTATGAGGTCTTGAAAGTGGGACTTAGCAACCACAGAAATTTGAGTAAGAAGAAGAGAAAGTTAAGAATGGAAAAGCTGTCAAGAGATGTAGCATGAATAGTAGTATTTACTATCTTTAAGTTATTTGAGAATTTAGGTTATTTGAGGATGTCAGTCTCTTCTCTTCATTTAAGTATTGAAGTAGACCAGCTGTTCTCCGTGTATGAATTGATTACTACATTTTGGGGAAATGTCCTATTTTGTGCTTATTACCTAACATTATATAAAAAACAAGTTAGATTAAGGAGGTTTCCAGATAATGAATTGACCTCAATTTAATTTTTTAAACATTAATTTCCTTGGTCTGGGATGGAAATTTGCAGGGATTGTTGGTTGGGGTTAAATCTGATCGTTTAGATTTGCCTTAAATGATACAATTTTTAGGTTGAGTTTTAAAATACCCAAAATTTGCAACAGGAGAGCAGTAGTTCAGTACTCTGTGTTACATGCTGTCTGCGTGTGTTTGACTGTTTATGTTAATGAAAGTGTCATCTAGAAGTGCTGTATTTTTATGCTGATGATAGGCTCCTTCTAAAAATGGAGTCAGCCAAGATTTCTGTCTGCCTTGCTTCATTTCCATCAGTTTCACTTTATTCCTAGTTATGGTTCATTTCACTCTTAAATTGGTACATTTATTGTTTTGTTCATTACAGTATCATGATGATAAGAAAGTTGACAATTCAAAGTCAGATATGTTTTTTTTTTTTACAGCAGCATTCCTTGCTCTTGGTGCTGATGGCTTGAGGAGGAAATAAGTAGAGCTCTAGAGAGGAAGAGAGGATTAAGCCAAAGAGCAATAGAGCAAAGGGATTAAAGTGCCTTAAGGCCATAGGTCACTTTTAAATTTAATAGTATATGTTTTCCAGTTATATCCAATATGATTTGAAAGACTGTGTTTTGCCTCTGTTGTTTGAATAAGTTATAGTAGAGTTGTAGAAGTAAAAGTAACTTTTAAATTATAAACTAATTTGCTACTAATGACAAAATGAGTATATTATTCATTGATTTGGCTACCCTCTACTTTGAAATGGGAAATTGGAATTTTAGGGAATTCTTTACCAATTTACTTAAAAAATACATGTAAGACAGTATTACTCAAGGCAAAAGAAACATGCAAGGCTGTCTGTATGTGGATAACTGTTTTTTGATGCTTCCTGAATCTTGGACTTTGTAACATTTCATTTAAATTATCCTTAAATAATACTAATTTTATAGTTTATTCAGTGTATAGACACGGACACACAATAGTCTGAATGATTAAAAACTTGTCCTGTGGCTTAAACTTTTCTTTTCATTAGAATAGTTTAAAGCTCCTTCACATTTTTTCATGTGTGGGTCAATAAAGTGAGGTGATGATGGCTTGATTAGAAGGATCTGTACGGTTTCTAGGATACTTTGTTCTTCACTTCTGCCATTCGTCATTGTAAGCTTTTCCTTAGTAGAATTTATTACTCATACCAAATTATCAAAATGTTCATTTAATACGGATGATTAAATTTACCTTTATTTCAGTCCTCAATTAGGATCAACATAAACGTCATCAGAAATAGAGGTTGGACACTTGTTTCCTTTCTACTAGTCACCTAATAGTCTAGTCTGTTCTAAGAATGATAGTGAATAAGTGCAATTATCTGTTCTAACACAATGCTGGCGCATGGTAGCAGCATGCTCAATAAATGGTGGCTATTATTTTTCCATTTCTCTCCCTTCTATTCCCCCCCTCCCCACCTTTTTAAGAACATACTGCTCTGAGTGAGAACAGGGATGTCAGGATTAACACTTAAAGAATTTTAGGAATTTGTTTATTTCATATGTAAATGTAAGGTATACCTTACATAGCAGTATAAAAACAAACAGCGTAATATGTTGGAAACTTTATGAAATGTTCCATAATTCCTGGGACTTGATTAATATTACACAGTAAGCCTAGGCTATTTTAGAGTAAAAGAACTGAACTTGGTACAAATTAATATTTTATTGCACTACTCTTCTATGGCAGTCAAAAAATTTCTTCCAAAATCTTTTCTCATTTGGTATAGCTCATTGTTTTTCGTCTTACTGATTTTGATAGGTTTTAAAAATCTGTTTCCTAAGTCCAACCAGCATTTAAAAAATTGAATGAGTAGAATAGAAAATATCAAGTACATCATGTGTAGAAAGAATAAGTATTGTTATACAAAACTCTTGTGTTTTCTTGTATTTGTTTCTGTAGGTTGAGATCAAGAGTTGGAAACTCTGGTATTAATGAAGCTAAAATATGTTGACTGGCAACACTGAAAAGGTTATAGACATAGTGCCTTTTTCAAAAAGCACACATGATAAGATTAGGGACAGACTGAAGAATTTAGTGAAGAGAAGGAGTTTAGGTAGGGACCAGATGCTTGGAAGGCGAGAGGGAGGATGGGAGAGAGAGAGAAGGAGAAAATGGGCGTGAATACGCAGTTTTCCTGGGTTGCTCCTTCAGGCTGACCTGTGAATGATTGGGTGTTTTTAATTTAAAAAAACTTAATGGACAGGAGAATTAACTTCACTCCTTTGTATTATCTTTGATGGTTCATTTCCTTTTCCTTTGTCATTTTTCCTTTTCTGACTTTGCACTCTTGGATGTTGACTTCCACTGATTGATTGTCAGAGTTGTATCAGCTTGTTGAACATTAGGGGTAACCATGACTTATAGACATTGATAGTAGTTTTTTGTTTTATCTCCCCATCACTCCACGTGAACTTTAGCATAGATGTAGGTGAGAAGGATTTACTCCATAGATTTTCTGTTCCCTTGTTAGTTGTGAAACTGCCATTGAGGGTGACTTGAAGTTTTCAGTAGCTCAGTTGCTCAGCTGCTTTT